TGAGGAAGAGGAGAGTGTACGAATTTTAATGTTTGCCTCTCTTTATAAACAGGGTTACGCGGGAATCGAAGGCACACCTCCAGAGCAGCCCAATGCCGTGCAGTGCCTGCTGTGGCAAGTCCCGGCGTCGCACCGCAGACAATCCGGTGTCCCTCGACGTCTCCCCCGTTTGACGGCCACACGGCGAGGGGCCACCGGTCCCGTGTCGCCCAGCTCCGGGCACGCATCGCCCCGCAGCAGCTCTCCGAGCACGGGGCTGCGGGGGGCGGTCAGAACGAGGGGCAGCTCAGCAGCCGCACCCCGCGGTACCAGCGGCCCCACGAGCATCCCCCGGTGCTGCTGACCCCCCGCGCTCCGGGCACGGCTCCGGGATGCTCCCGGCACGGCTCCGGGCACGGCTCCGGGATGCTCCGGGCACGGCTCCGGGATGCTCCCGGCACGGCTCCGGGATGCTCCCGGCACGGCGCCGCTGCCCCCCCAGCCCCGGGGCGGTCCCGCCGCCCGCACAGGTGCCGGGATTGGGCGGAACATGCAAATGCGGCGCTGACGTCAGGCGGCTCCGGCCCGGAGAGCAGAAATAGGGCCGGCCCGAACCGCGCCGCGCACTGCCCGCACCGGCCCCGCCGCGCTCCGCCCCGCCCCGACCGGAGCGAACCCGGCTCCTCCCCAGGTGAGTGCGGCCGGAGCGCCCCGCGGGTTCCGCTGCGCTCCGCGCTGCCCCACGCTGCGTCCCCATCCCCGCTTCCCTGCGCTGTCCGCTCCTCGGGGGCCGGGGGTCTCTGGGCGCCGCCGGGCGCTCACCCCGCGGGCCGGGCCAGGTAACAGGTGTGTGCCCGCCGCGGGGCCGGGAGGCGGCGGAGCGGGGCGGGACGGGCTGGGCTGCGAGCGGGGACCTCCGCGCCGTACCTCGCGTGTCGCACCGTGGACGTGCCGCCCGTGGGGTGGGCTGGGCTGGGCTGGGGTGAGGCGGACGCCGCTGCCGCCCCGGGAGCCGCGGTGCCGCAGTGCTCGCCCGGCGCGGCCGCCGTCGGTGGGCGCGGGTCCGGGCGCGGGTCCCGGCGCGGTCGCGCGTGGGGCCGGCGGTTCCCGGCTCGGCCGCCGGGTGGCGCCGGGCGCCGGCGGTGGCGGCCCGGGCTGGCCCGAGCGCGGGGAGCGGTGCCCGGTGCCGCGCCGGCCGCACGCTGCCCCACGAAGGGATGCTGGGCGATTCCTCCGCGTGTCACCTCGGAACAAAGCGGTTTTGAATCGTGGCGTGGGGCCAGCTTTGAAAACCGAGGCGAAATCTCTGCGTGGTTCACGAGTTTCTTGCTAGTCCTGCATCCTTGTTGGATTGATGCTCCCCGGATTTATTCCGGAGCATTGAAGTGTCTTGGAGAATTTCAATGAAATGAAATCTTATTAAATTTAATCAAATGAAATATTTTTAAGTAGCTTTTGCTCAAATGAAAAGTCCGGTTTGTACTTAAACATCAAAGCTGATTCCAATGAGTTCTTAATGTACCCAAACTTTAAGTATTTAACTGCGGACAGCTGACCGAGTAATTATTCAGTTTCATTATGTCTTGCCAAAACGATTGGCTTTTCTACTTCATTTTGTTGCTTAGTTCTGTAGTACTTAACAAGAAATTATGGATGTCGAAATTATTTTCCCAGCAATGGAAACGCTGTTTAGATAAGGCTGGAGCAATTGGAAAGGTTGATGGCAGGAGCTAAGGACCAGATTCTTATCTGGTTTTAATAGCATCACTTTGAATAGAGGTAATAGTTATGTCCAAATGTTTTCTTTTTGCTATAGCAACAGTCAGAACTTCAGATAATTAAGTTCAGTCCCTTTCTGATGTGAAGCTTGTTGGAAATTATTGAAAGCTATTGCAAACCAGTAATTTCTCAAATAAACTGCAATTTAAGTAGCCCTGAAACAAAACCAATAACTGCTTTTGGCAATTTTTTTAATCTCATTGTGGTCACCGTAATTGAATTTTTAAAGCTTTTGTGTTACAGGGGAAAAAGTTGTGGGATCACTGCAGGATCTGGTTGTTGCTTGTCACAGAAATGCTTTAAACAGTTCGTGCTGTTCCCTACTCAGATAGCCAAGATGCTTGGTCCCTGTTGTTTTTCAAGGTGACCCTTTTTGCTTGAGTAGCTCCCAAGCCTGTACCCTACAACCTGTGCTTGTCTTTGGCTGGCATCTGCTTGCTGCTCTTCCACTGGAGACATTGCAGCCATTTGCTTTAAATTCGAGGCTCTCCCTGTGTGTTGGTGCCTGCCCAGACCCATCTGGCCTTGGGATGGGTGTTCTGCTGTTGCCGTTGTGTTTGAGCTGCTTCAGATGACAGTGCATAGCCTGGTGCTGCTGTACTTGTGATTCTTGCTAGAGCAGAGCCAGCTGCAAGGAAAGCTGGAGGGCTGCTCTAGCTCAGAGGAGGAAACCACAACCTTCAGGTAAACTTTTTGGCTTTGCATAGTATATTCTTTATCAAGAGTCAATATTTATTCCTTCTTTTGAGTACAACTGCTTGTTTTATGCAGACATTTCCATATGCAGGCTTTGATTTCTCTGGACAGTGATCTCCATACAAGCTCAAATCCAGCAAATCTGTCGCTCCCTCGAGCAAGGAAAGGAAATAGTAAAACTTGCCTGAGCTTACAGTGGTGGTCTGGATCTATTCAATCAATTTGAGTTTTTCTGTTGACTTCAGGGAACTTGGAAGCTGCAGTCTGATAGTGCATTGTATGGTGTAGCTGCAGACTGGGTTCTGCAAGGAGCCTTCCCTTTAGCTCAGGGTAAGGCAGTGCTGAGCTCTGGTTTAGGATGCCAAGTGCCATGAAAATGCTGTGTGACTCCAGAGTAAGCTCTCTGTTGATATTTATGCTACGTATTTGTTGCTTGATTGAGGCTATTAAGATATATAATGTGTATTAATGTGTCCTTCTCTTACCGTGACTGAGAGCAATTAGTGTGCTGTCAGCATGCAATAAAAATAAGCGATTTCTAAACTGAGTAAAGATGTTGTAGAAATTCTATTTATAAAGCAAACAGAGTTTCTATCAGGTAGAGTCTGCCCTTTCAGTTTCATCAGTGTTACAGATCCTGATCCAAATATCTTCATGCTTTCTGTCAGTTGTTTACTAAATCTACGTTAAACTAGTGATTTCCCTGTTTTGCTCCAGGATTGTAATTTCAGGCAGGATATGATTCAGAGGTCTTTAGAACTGCATTGTTATTTGTTGTGATGGAATCAACCGAGCACACAAAATACCCCTATTACAGGAAAAAAACCCCCAAAACCCTGTGAGAAACAATGTTGCTGTGCAAGAGCAATTCATAAAGTAACAATGCACTTGTCTCTTATTGATGTAGTGACTTTGGTTTATTAAATATTTATTTGTAGCCCCAGTAACATTACATCTGAGGTTCATAATTGGAATTTAGAAAGACTAATAAATTTTGATTTCATCCTGAATGCTGTTCATTCAGTGTGTTTACATTAGTGCCAAGAAAAGGCATTGCCTGAGCTCTGTGGGTGCTGTATGCTGTGCTCGATCTAGTGATGGGGTGTCTTTGAGCAAACAAAATACCTAAAATTGTCACTGCTGGTGTAAATGGCCACAGCTCCAAAATTAGGAGCGATGCACCATGGCTTGGACGTACCCTGTGGCAAACACATGGCATGAAAACACTGTAAAATGAGTCTTGTCAAGACAAGGTATGTCATGGTGAGTTAATTCAGCTTGGCTGAATTTTGCCATTAGCAGGTAGCCCTCCTTGTTGATGTGCATGGCTCCAGCCAGGCAGCAGCCTGTAGAAATGCTGTCACTTCATTAAGGGTCATTATGCTTCATTAACGGGTCCATTTTAGCCTTCCTCAGCCATCTCAGAAATGGTTCCAGGCCTGAATATTCCTTTGGTATTTTAATTGTAGAAAGTAATGACACAATCTTGTGTTACTGTTATGGAGGAAGCAGAGCTCCAGGTTGAGCACCAGCACAGGGTTGTGGTGTGTGAAACACAGGAGTTCCTTCTGACGCCACTTTGGGTAACTGCTTTGGTGTCCTTTCCTAATTCATTAAAAAACTACATGAGACAAGAACCACTGCTCAAAGTGCATGCAGATTTAGTGGGAATCCCTCCAGTTCCCCACAGATGATGTGGGACTGTGGTGAGCTTTTGCCAGGGAGATGGTGCTGCTCTTGAGTGGAGTGAGTGTGGGAGGGATTGGAAATGTCTCTGCTGGGACAGAGGAATATGAGTGCAGAAATCATAGGTAGGACTCACCTTTGTCATGGCTGGAGAAACACATCAGCCCTCTTCAGCTCAGGATTTGTTTTGTGTCTTTCAAGTTTAGGTGTGTTTGGTGACCATCTGGGCAGGTATTCTCATTGGGAGGATGAACACTGTCCCTGTGTGCTGGTGTGAGCTGTCAGTCCTTGCTCACCCCACACACCTGATTGTGTAGCCAAGGGGGCTGCCAGTGGCTGTGTCTGCTCCAGGCAGTGTCCCCCTCTGAGTCAGAGGGGAATAATGAGATTATTTTCTGTCATATTGTTGGGAGCCTTCAGCAGTCAGAGAAGCAAAGGTGTGTGTCTGGCATTTTCCTGAAAATCTGCTGAGGGTGCAGGTGTGAGTGTCCCTGTGCTGCTGGGGCTCTGCAGAAGGGACAAAATTCACCCTTTGGCTTCTGCAGTGCCACAAGACCATGTTTTGATGTGGTTTGCGTTTGGCCACAGTAGTGACAGAAATCCCAGGACTCTGGTTCTGCAGGTGCTGTGTGGCAGCAGGCTGAGAGCAGCATGTCCTGAGGAAGAGAGTTTTGGGGTAAAACTGCTTCAATATGGGGATATTGTACAATACACTGGAGTCTGTAGAGCTCTGTAGGCACTGAGTGTGGATGGACACTGTCAGCTGAAGCTTCTGTGTTACCAAACCTGAGCTGGCTTTTGTTGTAAGATGAATGTTCCATAACTGTTCCTTTTTGTTTTGTTTTTTTAACAGACTCGAAATGATGACACCAAGGAGCTTTTGGTGCTCTCTTGTGCTGCTGGGGGTTTTCCCACTGGTCACAAGGGGATGGATGGATGTGGACCAGAGCAGGAGCCTGTATTCAGATGTGGGGAGGTTGCATCAAGAGGTACTGTACACCTGCTGCTGCTGCAGACACAGCTCTTGGGTTTCTGTTCTTGGGCTGTGGGCAGGCTCTCCATATTGCAAACAGAAAACAAGTGTGGGCTTCTCTGTGTGTATTTGTATTGAACACCTCCTGAGGAGGTCAGTGAAAAACAGTGAAACAGAAACTCCTACACTTATTGGGTATATTGACATCATCTGGAAGTGAAATTGTGCATCTGGCTGTTGTGGAGATGCTGTCTTGCCCCAAAGACTTTACAGTGTGCTGTGTCCTGGGGCTGCTGACATCAGTGAAGCTAAATTTAACAAGCAAACTGTCCTGACTCTTCACTTGGGTCAGTGGACAATTAGGTGAAACCTAAAAAAAGCTCTTTTGAAGGAAAGCTGAGCCATAGGTGGTTCTGAGAGAATCAGCAAAATTCCTGCCCAAAGTGTTTTCCTCCAGACTTCCTGATGTGACACCTTCCTGAAGCACAGAGGAACAGAAGAGGGAGCAGGGAACAGTGACTGTAGTGGGCAGTCATGGGGCTGGGGCCAGCAGTGCCTCCTCAGGGCTCAGCCCTGGCCTCAGGGAGTGCAGAAGCAGCTGGGCCTGTTCCCAGTGCTGAAGGTGACAGTGTTGGCTGCTGTCACAGGGGTGTGCATGGAGCAGGCCCTGTCCCAGCAGTGTCAGAGCAGCTGTCCCAGCTGGACTCTGGATTTCTGAGCCAGAGCTCAGCACTGCTGGTGGCACAGATGTGCACTCAGATTTTCACAAGTTTCAAGCTGAGACGTATGAATAAAGCCACAAAAATCTGGAACTGTGACTTTGTTGAGCTGTAAATGATGAATGAATGCTGAAACAATTTTAGCTATTTAATTAGTTCCTGTATGTTCCCTAAATGGTTGCTCAAATGTCTGAAAGTGAGAGATGGTGCAGAAGGACAGGAAAAGGACACTTGGCTATTTTTTAGCTGCCATTGCCTTGAACACTTATGTGCTGGCAGACACATCAGTCAGTGCCAGGCTAATGATAAGCCCTTGATGGATTCATGTTGCAATTGGATCTATTTGAGCCTCAGGATTTGGTTGTAGTTGGAGGATCCCATTTCTCCCAGTCACACGCTGTCAACAATTACCCAGTTATTGGCATTATAGTTTAAGCCAATTAAAAAAGTGCTTTTTGCTGCTTAGCAGGGCTTAGAAGTAATTTCAGTGGTGTTGGATGTTCTACAGCTGTGAGGTGTGTTTCAGGTGTATTTTGTCCTTGAGGTATCCAACCTCTGTTCTGTGAAAGTGAATAACAGCTCCCTTCCACACCTCCACTGTTATTTTGCTGCTGTGTAGGCTCAGGTAGTACACTGGCACTTTGTTAAACCTGTTCTTGCAGAATCTCTGATCAATTTTGCTTTTTTATTAAAAATTATTAAATATTTTGTATGCTTGTGCAGTTTAAAAAAGTCTCATTCTTAACTAATGCACATTAGTTTTGATTTTTTTAAGAAAGTTGCTCTGAGGAATTAAATTCGTTACTCAATTTACTTTAACATAAATCATAGAATTATTATATTACTTGAAAGACATTAATTCATTTGCTCTTTCTCTAAAGACCATAATGTTATTGTACCAATTACTTGATCTTGCTTGAGGTGGAAGGATCTCAGCTAAAAATATATTTGCTCAGGTTAGCGCAGAATTTAACAAGTGTAAATATTAAAATTATGAATGTACAAAGAATGCAGTAAAAATAGATTCAAGAAATGTAAGTTATAAAACAGGTTTTTGAAAAAAAAGTATCTGTACAGAAAACTTGTTTCCACAAGAAATAGCGTTTATACAGTGTGGCACCAAACACCAAAATGAATCTGAAAGCTCTGAGCATAACTTTCAGGTAGGTCAGTGAAACTGAGATAATCACCTTTTGAGAGTAAACAGCAGTTACATTCTCTTTCAGAAAATAGTTTATCCATAATACCTTTCTAATAATAAAAATCACCTGAAATCCTTTTCTAGCATTACAGGCCTTTGTTCAGTTTGGAGCTCCTTATCTGTGAGAAGTTTGTTAGGTTCCAAATTTTATGGTTTGATTAATACATAGATCCATTAACATGCATTTAAAAATATTAAATCACAACTAGAAATGCTCCTAGCAAGCCACTAAAACTGCTTTAAAAATGAGTAAAATGTTAATTTGCAGGTCAAATAATTTTGAAGTCTGCTCTGATGGAAAATTCCTGTGAACCTCATCAAAGCAAATACGTGGGTATGGGTCACTGACCTTCACTAATACTTGTTCTGATCTACATAGGAACAAGTTTACTGAATCAAAAACATTGCTTAATTTATGTTCAGATTGCAAAATCAATTTCTTCATGGTATGTGGTAGAATTATTGCAGCTGTGCTTTGAATTTATTAAAGAAAATAAGACTACAAGGCTTTCTGATCAGAAACCAGCCCTCTAGTATAACAATGCTGTGTGTTTTTCTTCACCCCTCAAGTTTATGGGGTGTTCCTGAGAAGGGGTTTCTTTTCTGGAATATTTTTAGTCCTGATTAGAATAGTTAATAATTATGTATATGCAGTATGAAATTCCAGTTTCAATGAAAGAGCTAAAATAGAAAAACTAATGAAAAAAAAAGACAGCATTAGTGTTTGACTGGAAAGCTGCAACATTCCTGGTTTGTATTAATTTTGAAGACTACTGCTGTGTTGTGTGAAATGTCTCATAGGAGTTGCTGGAAAGCTCTTGAGGCTTCTGGGCATTGCATGTGGACTTGGGCAAAGCTTCTCAGGGCTGGACCATCATGAGATTAAATCCTGTTCAGTGGAATATATGCTGAAATATCAGATATATAGAGCTCACTGCTCGGGGGTGATGTTTTTGACAAGTTTTTGCCTCTGCCTTCAGCAAGGCTGATTGCATGTAGAGTGAGCAGAGCACTGCTGCAGGTCTTCATCAGCCCTTCCAGGAGCAGAGCTCCTCTAACACATCATCACAGAGCTGCATTTTGGAAATTTAAATTCTGTGTTATGTTTTCTGGGGCACTGCTGGTGGGTAGCTTGAATAATATTGTCCTAGCTTGATAGTGTGAAAGTGGAGAATAATTCTGCTTTGTGGTACATGGAGAGTTGTTTTGTGCTGCATTTTTGAGTATTTGGATGTCACCAAGCCCCTAAGCAGTGACAGTAAAGGCTGGCAGGCATTCTGTGGTCTGTTCAGGGCTACAGAACCATTCTGTGGTTTCTAGAAATACTTAATTGCTTTAATTTGCCTTTCATGCTGTGCTATTTTTGCCACCCATCCTCCTCCTCAAGCAGTCTCAGGAACCCATGCAGAGCCCCCACGCTCCTGTGGGGAGAGGAGCTGTGTCCCTGGGGAGGCTCCTCTGCACAGAGCTCACAGGTGATGCTCCATGGGCTCCTTTCTCAAGGCACCATAACTTTTTCCTTGCTGGCATTTGGCAGGTATTGGCTCTGTTGGCTATCCATTGTTTTTGTTCATTAATTGTTACTTGAATGAGAACACAGGTTCCCATCCCTGGAGGTGTTCAAGGCCAGGTTGGAAGGGCCTCTGTGCAACCTGCTCTAGTGGAAGGTGTTCCTGCCCCTGGCAGGGGGCTGGAATTGAATGATCTTTAAAGTCCCTTTGAACTTAAAGCATTCTGTGGTTCTGTGGCACCTGAAACTGCTCAAAATCTCCAAGTATAAATGGACAGCAAACAGCTGGATCAGACCAGCCCTTCAGGGCCCTCATGGCCAGCTGGAATCCAGCCTTTCTCTGGAGCCCACTCACAAGCCTCAACTGTGCTTGTCTAAGAGTATCAATTATTGCTGAAATTTCTAATTATATTCAGATTCTTAAATGTTGCATCACTTACTGCTGCATCTGAAGATGACAGTGGGTTATTCTGGGCAGCAAGGGATTCATAGGGATGATTTTGGGCTCCTTCCCCCAGCAAAGTCATGTTTCCTAATCTGACAGACTAGGAAGGGATTTTTTTCTGAAGCAAGTTAAAAAATTGCAAAGGGTTTTTTTTTGATAAAAGCTTTTTGCTTCTAATTCAAATACAGACGCAATTTCAGAGGATGAGCTTGGAATAAAACAAGCACAGTGTATAAATTTTATATACAGTTGAAGATCTAATATCCTGGTATTTATTTTAACTGATAATAATAGTAATGTATTGTCTACCATTTGAGTGTTCTTCCTGATTTTCAGTTTGGAGAAAGGAAGAAAAGAATCAGATTTAAATTCAAATCTATACTGTGCTACAGCCTGCTGCAGCTTCAAGCATTAATGAAAGTACAGGGAGACAAGACTTAAGTTTATTTTTCTATCACTTTGGTATGTAGTGATAGTTCACTTCTGGTTACCTGCATTTATGTGGTATCTCTAACAAGCAGTAATTGCTTTTTTGTAGAGCATCCTAAATCTTATCCCTGTGGAGATGAGAAGCTTTTGCTCTGAGTGCTGGTTACCAGAGCATCTGCAGCCTAAGATGCTGTGGAACATTTTGATAATATTTATATTAGGCATGTTGAGGTCCTTCCTCTGCATCCCCAACCTTCCCGTCCACTTTCTTCTGTGTACTTACAGGGCTTAATAAATGTTGTATCTTACTTGTTGAATCTTGTACTGGAAGTACTAGAAAATGTGACATTTGGAACAAGGCAGGTACTGTACACTTGAATGACAGCAGAAAATTAGAAGAATTTTGGTTTACATGAGTGGTTATGGCTCAATGGTGAGTGTCAGGGATTGTCAAGCTGCATCTAAAGCACAATCTGAAGATGGAACCCACTTGTTTGCCATCCCTTACAGAACAGAAATCCTGTTTCCTTTGTTTTTTTAAACTTCTGGTGGGATGCAGTGTGTGATAGCTCACGGTGGCCCTGCACTGCCCATTTTCCTGGGGGCTGTCACCTTTCAGCCAGAACAGGTCCCCTGCTGCTGCATGGGGCAGTTTGTGGTGCATTGGATGGTGATGCCCTTGGATTTTGGGTGCTTGGATGCTGTCTCTGGGAGCAGAGGGATGAGGGCTCCTGGTGCCTGGCTCTGTGCTGAGCTGTGCCACTCACTGACTGCAGGAATCAAATTGCAGGAAGTTTTTCTCATGTCACAGTTGAGCAACTGTGGAAAATCATACTGAGATGGGGAAATGCTGGTATGATTCTGAAGAAGAGAATAAGACCAGAGTAAATCATGTTGCAAAAATGAATCAAGGCAATCTTAACTTGGTTATGATGTGACAGAGGGTTAAACTTGGATATTCTGTTCAGAAGCCACTCAGCCTTAAAAGACTAAATGTTGAGCAATATTTTTTTCCAAATGTAGCATATTCTCCATTTGAAAAAAAAGTTGTAGCATTAGTTTTTAAAGGAAGACAGTTTTACTTGAAGTACTTTTGACCACCAAGCAGGGCAATTCTCAGTTTTTAGATTAGAAAGAGCATATCCACCAATTTGGGATTTTTTAAAAGCAGCTATCCCATGGGCTTCTCCATCACAATGTGGAAATTTATGGAGCAATACCTGGGTTCCTCATCTGGAGTCCAGAACTAATCGTGAGTAAAATCAGAGATGCAGTAATTATCTCAATTAGCTGCCGTATGGATGAGCAGATGATGCTGTGTGATGTGAGCCATCAGAGTTCCTCTGTGTTCATACCAGACAGTACAAATCTAAATTGCCACTGTCTGTCCTGATAGCAAGCTTTCTCCAAACAGCAGCATGTGATCGATTTTTTCCTCATGCCTGATCAGAAAAAAAAAGGGAGAAAATGCTGATTGTCAAACCAAGCTGTGTATTAGTCATGTCCTGTGCTGATGCTTCAGTCCCCATGCAGAGTGTCCCAGCAGCCCTGTACTGAGTGTCATTTCATAGAATGGTTTGGGTTTGGGTCAAAACTTGTCTAATTCTACCCCCTGCCACAGGCAGGGATGCCTTCCACTGTCCCAGGTTTCTCCAAGCTCCATCCAGCCTGGCCTTGGACACTTCCAGGGATGGGGCAGCCACAGCTGCTCTGGTGTGCCAGGGCCTCCCCACCCTCACAGGCAGGAATTCATTCCTAATATCTGATCTAAATCTGTCTTCTTTGCATGACCCCTCCCTGGAGATAAGGAGGAGAAGGCTCTGAAGGGAGGAAAAAAATCCATGGCATGGTAATCTATTAATAGGAACAGCCACTTCTTTATTAATTTGCTAAATGAGTTAGGACTGTATATTTAGAAATTGTACAGCAGTTAGGCTGGTCCTGAGAGCAGGTCCCTGGAGACCTGGAGTGTGCAGAGGTAACACCTGATTTATTGTGAGACTCAGCATGAGCCCAGCTGCAGGGACTGGGTTTGATTTATCTGCTTGCACTGCCCTGCTTCCCACAAAGGGTCTGGCAAGGCCAGCCATGCAGGGAACTTGTGGATCTGGAGTGTTAGCTGTTCTTCTGCATCTCTTCTGCTGCTGCATTAATTGTTTTATTCTTTTTGCTGCTGGCTGTGGGGTTTTTTTGATTTTTTTTTTTGTAAATTTTGGAGTTATTTTTTCCCAAGTCTCCTATATAAAATTTTGGTTATAAAAAGGGGTGCATTTTTACTAAATCTAAATCAGTATTAAAGGGCAAGAGACTGAAACCATTGCAAGGTTATCTGATGGAATATTGTGCTTGAGGCAGTAGGTATCTCTTTGGTATTTGCTTTGGTGATCCATGCTCAGCATCATTCCCTACTGGGGTCAGAGGCCAGGAACAAACAGGGATGGGAAATGCACAGCCATGGGAAAATCTCTTAATACTGAATTCATCCTGGGAAGTGTTCAAGGCCAGGCTGAACAGACCTAGTGGAAGATGTCCCTGCCTGTGGCAGGGGGTTTGGAACAAGATGAGCCTTTATTGTTCCTCCCAACCCAAACCATTCTGTGGTTCTACCCAAAACAACCCCAAAGTGCTTTTGTTGCTTGCATCCATTGCTAACAACCACAGGAAAACCTGTTTGTGGCACACTGACTGCCAAGCACTGTTTTATGTTGTGTATTCCCTCTGTGGTGTTGTGTTTTAACTCTGCACAATGAAGTTCCCAATGCTCTGTCTTTGTTATGAATGAAATTTGATTTCTCATTAGTGCTCTGCTCATCCATGGACCCATGACTCATCATTAATCAGGAGATATAACATAAACTGGTTATAAACATAACCCTCTTTTGCCTTGGCATTCCTTTTGTAGGAGCAGAAAAGGTCTTTGTGCAAACCAGTTGTTAAATGGCATCAGGTTCACACAGGTGTTGGTACAAGAAATTTTGGCAAATGGCATTGGTGCAACACACTGCAGCTACAGGGGAGTGAAGCAGTCTGACAGCAGCTGCTGAACTTGATTTGATTTTGATTCTCACCCTTCCTGATCCAGGTAGAAATATTTATCATACTTGATGACTCTGGGGTGCTTGGTCTTCTGGAGATGCAGTTTTTCTGTAGCTACATGCCTGGTGAAAGGCAATCCTGAAGCAAACATACTGCATTGATTTCCACCTAGTGATTAGGTACTTCAGACACAGAACAGAAGGACCTTTCATTCTGTATTCAATTGACTAGCATTAAAAAGTAGGAAATAGGTGCTAAAAGTGAACCTTGACAAATAAAACTGTTGTATTGCACTAATGAAATGCTATTTAAAGTGGTACATGAAGAAGCTTTTTAGAAGGAATGGAAAATCCAAAACAGTTTTTTCCCTTCAAAGCAGATGATTTAAGCTCTGATAAAATTAGATTTTTAGTTAAAGGAATTTGCAGTCATTAAATGGTGCCCATGAAATAAGTCTCATTTATAACCATCTGCTTTATGGCTTCTGCAGGAAAGTATTCCTCAGGCAATGTATTCAAGAACTTTGGTGTCATTTTTATCAAAATAGTTTGGTTCTCTACGGGTGACACTATTAAAATCTTTGAAACCTCTATGTGATTTTTTTTAAGCTGAGATCAGTATCATCTTCAAGAGAAGCCCACCTGGAGCTGCTGCCTTTTTGTACTGTACTTTGGGCCCTGCTGTGGCTGCCAGGCGTTTTCCCCTTTTTTTTGTCTACCCTCCCGAAATCTTGAGCATTCTCAGTGTCACTGGAGGTTTCTCTGGGGAAGGGATGGTTTGGGGACACACCAAGTGCTGCTGTTTTCCCAGGAACAAGAAGTGATGCCTTGCAGCCTGACCTCGTGTTCTCCCACTGTAGTTCTAACAAGCTTTTCTTCTGAACCCTACATCTGTTTTTGTGGATGGTTTATATTCATCAGAGCTTACAATTATAAGGGGAGCAGAATAAAAGAAGGGAAACTTTGAAGACCATCCTTTGTCTTTCATGATGTCTGTGCAGGCGTGGAAATAACAAAAGGGCATTTTATAAAAGTGAGATGAGACTTGGATGTTTGTTTAATAGAGCCTTGATAGTCTATTTCCTTTTGATCAATATAATAGTTGTAATTAGTTTTAATATTTCTAAGCTTTTGAACTGCAGAGAATTCAAACAGCTTGTTAGTGTGAGGGACTCTAGGGAACTTTAAAAGTATTCTTCTCTTTTGCATATATTGCATGTACACAGGCCTAATCATAGCAGCTGTAGCTGACGTTTTTTTATCCCATGCCCCACCTCTCAAACTAATATTTTGAAAAGCTCAGAAAGGTCCCTGGAGTATAACTGCCTGCACAGCTCAGAGTTCTGCTACATAAAGAGGATAAATGCTTTGAAGTCTGTATTAATCCTGAGTGCCATTTTATATATTGCTGAAGATCACTGAGGTGGTATCCTACAGGGAATAATGACAGTATTTTTATAAGCAAATACCCTTTTTTTTTATTATCCCCTTCAGCTGACTTGAAGGGTGCTAAGGAGACAATTTCTGGTATTCTGATCCTTCTCTGATGTGGTGGAAGCTTTGTTTTGGGGAAGGCAGCTTTGGTTGTGGGAAGGAAGGAGCAGCAGCATCTGCTGCCTGCACGGGGGATGACAAAGGGCAGTATGAACTGTCACCGTGCTTGGGCAGGACATGGGTGATGGGAGATGGCGCCTGGGCTGGAGGAGACCTCAGCTGTGGCTCTGTCCTGCCCTGGGACCTTCCAGAAGGTTCTGGGAGGGGGCAGGAGGCAGAAAGAAGGATTTCTGTGTCAGCCCATGGGGACCTACAGCACAGCAGCCTGTGGTGCCCAGAGCCTCTCTCAGCCTGGCTCCACTGCAGAGCCACTCCAGATGGTCCCCACGATTCCACCAGTTCTAATACTGGCTGCAAGAAATAGCTCCACTGATGGAAATTTGGACGTATTTGTAATTAACCCATAAATAGTGTTACTGTGTGGAATTAAATATTTATTCCTCTGAAGTCTCACCATTAGTATGAGCAGATAGTGTTGCCTGGGAATGCAATACCTTTAGAAACACTGTTGTTTTAAAACAAGTGTCTATATTAGAGATGGTTGTGATGATTTGCAAAAAAAAAAATTATGGACAAAAAAATGATATGCAAAAATATTATGTAGGTGTGCATGGATTGAAATGAGCAGTCAGCTTTCAGCATGAGTAGTCCAGTGGCTTTGAAATTATTCAGATATTTGCAGAAGTCTCTGCTAAAAATATCTTTAATGGTTTCTCCTCAGCCCCAAATCTTTGGTGTAGTAATAATAACCCTCCTAACTGCTCTCTTTTAACATAAATAGAGGGAAAAAATCAATTTTCAAGACAAATGTTGTGCTTTGCAATGTAATTTATCACACAGTGATGAGTCATTTTAGGTGTTATATTTATCCATTAAATATCTGTGGACAAACTGAAATGTGTGCTTGTAATTCCTCCTCAGTTATTGTATTGAGCTTTATAGATGCTTCCCTGGGTCAGTAATTGATGTTTTTAGGGGGGGTTGTTCATCCTGCCTTTGAACAATTCTTGCATTTAATAAAAAACACCACAAAAAATTCTCTTTTTCCTTATAGGACTCCAGAAGGTTTGAAGTTACAAGAAGAAAAGGTAGGAAAACTGGTTTTCTTTCAGTGTGTGTGTTGGTGTTGAGTATCTTGCAGTAACTTTTTAAAATAAGCATGAGTTCACACACTTGAAAGGTTGTGCTGCTGTGGGTTTTCCAACAGTCTGTGCCTGGTGCTTGTCTGACAGTTCTTAAGTGTTGCAAATTGTAGAATTATTTTTTTTCCAATGAAAACCTGCTATTTTAGCACAGAACTTCATGATGGTGTTTGGTGTGCATGTCAAGGTTTGGGTGCTGGCAGGGCATCTAAATGGCTTTAAGCTGAAGGAAGATAATTTAGATTAGATATTAGGAAGGAATTCTTCCCTGTGTGGGTGGTGAGGGCCTGGCACAGGCTGCCCAGAGAAGCTGTGGCTGCCCCATCCCTGGAAGTGTTCAAGACCAGGCTGGATTGGGCTGTGGTTCTGATTTTTTAAGATTTTCTAAGCCTTCTGATGTTTACATTCTTGTAACTTTCTCACACACTTTCTGTAAATAGCTCATTGTTTTGCGTTCTTTTATGGAAGAAGAGAAATTTCATAGACTGTTGGTTTGTCCAGTGTCATTGGAGAGGTGGCACTTTCACCCTCCAATCCACTGGCACTTTTAGAAAACTGTAAATGTTGAAGTCAGATAATAAACAAGCAGCAGTGTGTGCGTTTGTTGTTCCGTGTCCTGTAGTGACATCGAGCTTGGAGCACCCTGGCACAGTGGAAGGCATGGCAGGGGGTTGAAACTGGATGATTTTAAAGATCTTTTCCAACCCCAAACATTCTGTGCTAAACTCAAAGCCTGGAGAATTTCAGGGAGAAAAAGGTGCAGATGAGGCTCTCCATGCTCTGCCCAGCACAGCAGCACCCAAAGGTGCTCTGAGCTCAGCTCCTGGGCTCTCTGCTGCCTCAGAAACCATTGTCCTCTGCCAGGAGAGGCTCTTTGATGGCTCCTGGCAGCTGGGGGAGAATTGGCCATCAAAGAGCTCATTGTGGTTATCATTAATTTTGATTCTGTTCAGCAGATGTTTTCTGGATCAGGCAGTTGCTTTCCTCATCTGTCTTGGTAGAATGTGAAGCAGGTGGCACTCTGCTGTTCAATGGATTAATGCATTCCCTGTTCCCTTCCAGAGCTTCTTGAATTGTTTCAGGCATCCCATATGTTGGGAAGAGGTTGTAACTACCAAGGTTTTACTGCATAAGCAAAGAAGGTCAGGTCCAAGGGTAAATTGTCATTTAGGCAAATAATTTTTTTGTTGTTGTTTTTGTGGTTTTTTTTTCTTCTGTGAGGCTGAGGCAGCAGAGAGGCTTGAATTAATTAAAAATGCAGCTATTGCTAAAGGTGAAATCTGTTTGGCTTAGGTGTCCAGTGAATGTGTCTGTTTGATCAAACTTCTGCCACTCTTGGTGAAGAAACCCAGCTCTGTTGTACTTCCCTCAGTCTGAAACTGAGGAGGGTTCTTGGGTGGGTCAGGGCTGCTTTGGGATGCAGAAAACCTCTTGGTGTTGTGGGTGTGGACACTTTACAGTCATGCCCTGGCTGTAGTTTTGGTGCAGTTCATTATAGGCACAGAGACTGGGTCCAGTCTTGTGGATGTACCTCCAGTCCTTTTTCAGATATGAGTTCTGCTTCCAAAACTTTCTTCACAGTGAAAGTAACCAACACATATGAGAGCTTAAAGATAGCAATTCTTGAAATCAGGATTGAGTTTACAGATTGTGTACTTGGAGAATGTTACTGCAGAGCAATAACTGAATTTGGAGATCAGTGCCTCAAGACACAGAATTTCCAGGCTAAGTGAGGCTGGTTTCTCACTGCTTTCAGAGGATGGATAAGACTTAACTTTTATTTTGAGTGGTAGAACTATAATTTTTTTCAGAAGTGAATTCAATGTAATGGACTTCTGTTAGAAGCTTCTTAGATCCATGGCTGGAGTGAAGGGGATGGAAACTGGGGAGTTAAGATGTATAGATATATTTGGCTTATGCCCAGCAAGGCAATATGTGGATTATGAAGTCTGTCTGAAGAACTGCAAACTCCTCAAAAGTCAAGAAAATGCTAACATGGTAAATACCTCTTGATAACAAAAGCCTGTGGATTTGCAGAGCTACCTGGGGATTTTCAGCAATGTTTAAGTATCTTCCTCTCTGGAGTTATTCCTCAATAGTGCCTGTAAAATAATTCAACTAAAGGCTCCTTCAGAAACCTGTTCAGTATTAAAATGTGCACAGAGCAGATATCATTTGATGTCAGGAAGAAAATAACAGGAGGGTCAGAATGTTTATTATGCACACAAAAGGATTTCTTCTAAGTCTTACGATTGGTATGAGGTGATTTTGATGAGGCCTTTTCCCCCCTAAAAATGGTAATTTTTGCAGATAATGTTTTTTACCCGAGGAAATTAGATGATTGGAAGAGACTGGGAGTTGGGGGTTTATCCTTGTTCTATTCCCTTGGTAGAAATTTTGGCTTTCTCTTAAAAAGCTGAAAAACTAAAAAATATCTCATAGAAACACCCACAAATGTGAGAGCTCAGCAGACTTACTCTGTATCTACTTTTATTATCCCAGGCTTATGGATGATCCAAGATGATTAAAAAAAGAGCTTTTGGTGAAAGGAGGGGCAATCCTGGTTTAGACTTTTCAGAATTTTTCTTTATTTTGGGACAAAGTGTTTGAATCCTTTGATTTAAAGCAGACACTTTTCTTTCAAAGGGAGCAAAGCCTTGATTGTTGTTGAGCATGAAAACACTTTTTTCTTTTTTAGTTGTGGATGAGTGTAGTTAAACTGTGAGGGTTTGGTTTCTAAAGTGTCAGGATTACATAGGCTGGAGAAATTTTGAACCTGCTCCAAAGCCCATTACAGTCAATGAATGGTTTTCCTTTGACTTCCATGGCATGGGATCAGCAGTAATTACATGATCTTTTAATTGCTGTGGTATGGAGGAGAGATGCTTCCCTGACTGCAGCTGGCAGCCACCTCTCAGTGATATTTGGAGACTGATTTTCTTCTCAATTGGAATGGAAATGGCTGCAGAACTCTTTTGTTCCTGGGATGCCGAACTTGTGTGCAAATATTACCCTTTTTGACTAAAAATAATTTTTTTAATTAAAACCCCCTCAATCTGAGATTTGATTAGAAGATGCAGGAATATTTTTCTACATTCACTTGAAATTTGCCTCTGAGTTGGTCACACATTTGACCCACTGTGGTGGGTCATATTTTATTATGTTATCATCCATATTATGCCCATGCACTGGTAACCAGAATATGGGGTAGGGTGCCAGGTTTGGTGTTGTGCTTTGAAAACAAAAAAACTCCCAGCCAGCCAAAAAACCAGCTAAATACAAGCTCAAGAAATCTCAGCATTGATAAACAAGGACAGGATTTGAATACCGTCCCTCTATATTGCTCTGTTGAACTAAAATCACAGGACAAGTTTGGACAGGCAGCTCTTTTTTCACTAACTGAATCTTTTTTCTCATTTTTGTATTAATTTTTTCATATTTTTTCCTGCCCTTAGTGCAGAGGAAAGGGGAATGGAGCCAAAAGGGGAATAACCTGCACACTCCTTGTTGGTGTCCAGGGCAGTGTAATACTGCAGGAGAGCAGATGGGGAAGGGCAAAACAGGAGTAGGGAGCTGGGAAAAGCAGCAGTTTGAGCAGATCATGTGGACATAGCAGGCATTGAGTGGAAAGGATGAAGAGAGTAGTGAAAAGGATGAGGTGTCAGAATGGTTGGGAGGAACCTCAAAGCCCATCCCATTCCAGCCTGGCCTTGAACACTCCCAGGGATGGGACAGTCGCTGCATTGCTGGAAAACAAGTGCCAGCATCTCACACCCTCACAGAGGAGGATTTCTTCCTAAAATCTACATAGTCTGAGAAGTCCCTGTGCAGGAAACTGGGAGACTAAAGGGAGTGTGTTAGATTGGAAGAAAGAGGACCAAGCTTGTAGAGAGCACCTGCAGACGTTAGGCTGGACAGTGGCAGGGTTTAATTTTAAAGATTGGTGACTTTTCCCTGGGTAATGAGTGTACATGAATGCATAATACTTACCTGTTGCTGTAATTACACCCATATAACTTATCTATGTAAAAGCCACATACATTTGTGTCTATCAAATTCTCCGTGTCTGGCAGAACAGAGCCTCCAGTGGTTTCCCCAATTATTTTAATGGCAAGGACACAGGAACTAATTCTGCAACTTCTGGAGCTAACAAATGTTCCCATTTCAGTTGGCACTGTGGGGCTGAAGGATGCTGAGTATTAGAACAAATTGTCTGCTGAGTAGAACTGTGCCCAAGCATATGTATAGTCACATTAAGCATAAAGAGCCAGGTCTTCAGTAGATAGAAATAAGCAAAGCTCTGCTGAATTAATGGACCACCTTTGCTTTTTACTAGCTGAGAACCTAACCCAAGCACTTAAAACTTTTAATTTGTTTTTATGTTGTTCACAATCATCCGTTCAACAAATTAGTGTCAAAAGATGCTTTTGAAACCATTCAGCCAAGAAATGTTCAAGTAAATTGCTTCTGCTTTGACCATATAATCTTATTAAATGAGATGCAACTCTAGATTTATTCAGGCAGATGACATCACACTGCCATAAAGATACAAAGTTTAAATATCTGCTTTGAATTAAAACTTCTTTGAATTGACACTTGTCTCAAGTTTTCCCAAGCTCTGTGTTGTGGATGTCCTGTTTGTATATATTTATTGCAGATACACAATCCCCATTGTCACACTGTGATCCCTAATCACAATGTGGAGCAATAGAATGTAGTACACCCTGAGCTTTCTCAAGTTGCTACAGCTCTATTGAAAAATCTCTGCATCAATTAGCAGTGGTAGAGGATCTAGCCAACAGCTTAAGAAATATTTCATTATTCTCCACTTGACATCAATTATTATGTCCTACACGAAAAACTGACTCATGGTTATAAAATAGTAATGCCCTTCAGAAATTCTATTTACTTTGTCCTTTCTTTTCGCCCACTTCAAATGTTTGCCT